TTTATTTATTTATTTATTTATTTATTTATTTATTTATTTATTTATTTATTTTAACTTTTTTTTGTAAGAATACTATATCAGTGATGTGTATCAAGCTATCTAATCTGCCCCTTACAAATTCAGCTTCCTTAGAGCTCTTTTTTTTTTTTTTTTTGAGACCAGCCGCACCGCGCTCAGCTAGTGAGCGCTGTGAGCACACCGGTCGTCCCTATATAGGATCCGAACCCGCGGCGGAAGCGCTGCTGCGCTCCCAGCACCGCACTCTCCCGAGTGTGCCGCGGGCTCAGCCCAAAAAATACCTTTCTACAAGTATATTTCTCCAAGGTTCAGCTGAATAGGGTTCTGCAATGATTCCTTAAGATTCAATCAGACGTGAATTTTATTAGGCCTTACAATCAGCTTAACATAAGCATAGCCATGGTGAATACTCCCTCACCATGTTCCCCTACTGCTTCCCTTTCCCTCAAGGCTGGTGTGTTCCCCTAAGAACATCTTGTACAAAACAAAACAAAAAAACCCATGAAGCTATTATGGAATGCTGAGTGCTCAGAATAGTTGCCCAACCCCCTCCCAGTCAAACCCCATAAAGCCTCTGCTAGTCTGTTTGAGAGTGGAACACTCATCTTTCAGTTTCCCCTCCAGGTTTGCTGGAGTAAACTCCTTTGCTTGATAACGTTTGGCTCGGACTCTTTTATTCTGTTTGTGTCGCTGACCTAACAAATTTCAATTAAGTTCATATCCCTTAAACTCGTAAAAACTAAGCCCAGATGAACCGTGGTAAACATACCTATGTGTTAAACATATACGTATATGAGAGTTTTAAATATTTTTACCACAAAAAAAAACTATGTCTGGTGATAGATTTGTTAATTAACTTGATTTAATCATTCCACAATGTAAACATATATCAACACATTACATCATACCTCATAAATATATACAATTATCATTTGTTAATTAAGAAAATATGTATGTATATGTTTTTATGAAGAAACTAGCTAGCATTTATTGAGTACTTTGTGCTGGCACTTTATAAGCATGAGCTCATTTAATCCTAACAACACTATGAGGAACTACTACTCATTTTACAAATGAGGAAAATAAAGCTGAAAGAGGTTAATTGCAGTCAGAAATTGCTACAGAGAGGACTCTAATCCAGGATGTTTGTAGCAGAGACTGTGACAGGCTTAGCTACATTGCTTTATATCAGTCCTAACTCTGCAAAGGCATCTAGATTCTCCCTTTCTTTTGACTCTCCACCTTCCTTGGGGTAGAGACCATTGCTAGGGCAGTGGGAATTCAATTCCTAGCAGAAGATGAAAATCTTTATCTGTATCTCAGTAAGGGCTGACCTTGGGCACACTCAATCCAAATAGCAGATTTTAAATCCAAATACAGGAGAAATATAGAGAAACATATGAAAAGCTTTATGGGACTCAGTAAACAAACCATATGAGCCTGGCACACAATTAGTTCAGACTCATTAATGACCTAGAAGGTGACAGCTCTGGACATATTCTCACTGGACACACTAACCAATTTGGACATTCCAATCATCTCAAACAGTGAATGTCCCCAAATAGCCATCCTGGGTTACAAAGGCTTTCCTTACCCCCAGGAACTTCACTCTGCCCAAATGCAAAAGATGGGAATGGGAAATGTTAAGACCAGAGCCTCTAGGAAGCAATCTTCTGTTTATATAAAACAGTGATGAGTGTTTCCTCAGTAGCTCAACTGTATGTGGTTATTTCATGATCTCTACAAGCATTTTGCGATAACATGAAAACCATACTCGTTAATGCTGACACTGAAAGTTGACAAGTAAGCAGTGACTCTTAAGAATTTATATTTGAGTTTTATTAAATCTGTTTGACATTAACTTTAGAATTTCTACAAGTGATTTTTAAATTACACTCCTTTGAACTTACAGTTGCATAAAACTGTTTAAAGGATTGTTCTGGGTTTGACACAGGAACAGAATCTGCCTATACTTTGTGAAGTCTGCATATTTAGCCATGGACAACGATATATTGCTACCTCTCAACACTGATTCCTGCAATAATGCTGTCCTGATAACGTGAATGCCAGTTGTTTACAATGAAGCATATGGATAAATAAATTTGTTAATGTTATATTAACAGCCATTAAGATCTGCTGGGATTGTGTTACACTGGATAATAGCTGCTACAAAGAAGTCTCCTGTGAGTTTGGTTAGTGCAAGTCCAAACACCTCACAGAACTCCAGTCAAGGTAATTTGTGTACCTGAAAATCTGAGGATCAAACTCTGGATTTGGGTGTTTTCTCCAAGGAAATGATACCCTGGTGGTTAAAATGTTCTACCTCATTACTTTTTTACCCTAAATATTTCTGGTGAAATATTTTTAAAGGGATGAAATATATATTTGGGCTACTTGGGATTTATTTTATTTTCAGTATAAACACCTCAACTTTCAGTTGTCAGTGTAATTACTCTCAGCTATGGGTCCTTCCAGGCTCAGTCTGATATATTTGTTGTTCCTTTTCACAAACCTTGCAACTGAAGATAAGAAAACTTTTTTTTTTTTTTTTTTTTTTTTTTTTTTTTTTTTTTTTTTTTTTTAAAAGATGACCGGTAAGGGGCTCTTAACTCCTGACTTGGTGTTGTCAGCACCACGCTCTCCCAAGTGAGCTAACCGGCCATCCCTATATAGGGATCCGAACCCATGGCCTTGGTGTTATCAGCACCACACTCTCCCGAGTGAGCCATGGGCCGGCCCTAAGATAAGAAAACTTTTAGGAGCAAACATATCAGGGTTCGGAGTCAATCTCTTGCCACACAAGTATCCTTCATTTGTGGGAGCACCCAACTTCAAAACTCCACCTGTTCTCCAAGTCTGTTCTGGAGCTTTTTGGCTGAGCTCTGTCATGAATTCATATTCCAAAAAACAATAATCTCTTTTTCTTATTGACCAAAAAAGAAAAAAAAAAAGGCATATATATTTAAAAATATCAGGTTAGGAAAAGAACTCAATGACAACAAAAATATTACTTGGAAATAAATATATAGCCTTAAGTACTTAGAAGAATGAAAATTAACGAGCTATATGTCTACCATTGCAAGAAGTTAGAAAAAGAACAACAAAGAAACCAAAACAAAACAAAAACCTAAACAATGTAGAAAGGCAAACATAATAAAGGTAGAAGTAGGAATTAGTGAACTAGAAAACTGCAAATCCAAAAGTTGATCTTTTATTTTAAAAGACTAATAGTACTCTGGCTAGACTGATCAAGAAAATAAGAGAATAAGTACAAGTAGCCACTATCAGGATCAATAATAATAGCATTATACTGTAACAGTGTAGAAAAAAATAATAGGAGGGCATTGTATAACTATTTTATGCTAATAAATTAAAACCGTAAGTGAAATGATTAAATTCCTAGAATTCGCCACAGTAACAGATAAAAGGAGTAAAATAATATGATCATCACAATAATCAACAATAAAGTGTGTTGGTTAGCTCAGTTGCTTAGAGCACATTGTTGTAACGCCAAGGTCAAGGGTTTGGATCCCTGCCTTGGCCAGCCACCAAAAAAAAAATAAACCACAAAAAATAAATCAAGTGTGTGATAAAACTTCAGTATCTATTCAGGTAAAATCTTTTAGAAACTAGAAGTAAAAGGGAATTTTCTTAACTTGATAAAAGGTATCAATAGTAACATGAAAACCTTCAGTAAATATCACACTTAATGGTGAAACTTTAAAGCTTTCACTTTGAAATCAGTAAGACAGAGATGCCTGCCTATCACCACTTATAATCAACTTTGTATTGGAGGTTTGATCCTGAGCACTAAGGCAAGAAAAAGAAAGAAAACTACTGGAAAGGCAGAAATAAAACTCAATTTTGAAGATGATCTGATTATGTACATGGAAAAAGTAAAAAGAAATTTCATAAATTATTAGAGTTTAGCGAGGTGGCTGTACAAAAAATCAACATATAAAAATAAATTGTATTTTATATATGAACAAAAATAATGACATGTTAAAAACAAACCTTATATAATAATATCAGAGTATCAAATAGGCAAGGAATAGATCTAACAAAATATAAGTGCAATCTTTATCAGGAAATTTACAAAACTTTATTGAAAGGCTTTATTATTATTTTTTTTAATTATTTTTTTTATTTTTTATTTTTTTTATAAAGATGACCGGTAAGGGGATCTCAACCCTTGGCTTGGTGTTGTTAGTACCACGCTCAGTCAGTGAGCAAACCGGCCATCCCTATATAGGATCCGAACCCATGGCCTTGGTGTTATCAGCACTGCACTCTACCGAGTGAGCCACGGGCCGGCCTTTGAAAGGCTTTAAATAACACTAATAACAGCACTGCACTCTACCGAGTGAGCCACGGGCCGGCCTTTGAAAGGCTTTAAATAACACTAAATAAATTTAAAAAACATATCATATTTATGGATTGGAGACTCAAAACTGTAAATATACCAATTTTCCTCCAATTGGAGGTCGTTGATCGATTTTGAGTGAATTTTTCTATGTAGTGTAAGTGTCCAACTTCATTCTTTCTTTTGTATGTGGATATCCAGTTTTCCCAGCACCATTTGTTGAAAAGTGGTTTGTTGTTTTTTCTTTTGAGGTGATAAAATGTTTTAAAATTGATTGTGGTGATGGTTGTACATATCTATGAATATACTAAACCATTTTAGTTTTGTACTTTAAATGGTGAATTTACAGATTGATGGCTGGTCCCTACCCCTAGTGTTTCTCAGGTTTGGAGTAAGGCTGATGCTGCTAATCTGGGAAGTATAGTTTGAGAACCAATGCATGAGCACATAGAATTGATAGTTTCCTGAGGAACCTCAAAATAGTTTTCTTTTACTGTCCCTCAGAGACATAGAGATAATTCTGGTTTGTACTTGACTTGCTTCTTATACTCAGGCCCTAACATATTTTAACCTTATCCCAGTTTTCAACTAGATAGGGTGTTCCTAAAGGGAGGTTTGTTTGGTATACCTTCAAAGGTTTATTAGATAACATGATAAAATACTCTTCACTTCATAAACAGACTACTTACAAAAGATTTCAAGTAATAAACTTATTTTAATAGTACAAAAAAATCTGCTTTCCAGTTAGTGAAGGAAAAACTTCCAAAAATTTTTATGAGACCAGCCAAAAGAAAAACACAAATAGGTAGGTAAATATGATTATTTACTCCAAACCCGAGAAAGAAGAGACCATCATTACAAGCAAAATCATTCTTGAACTGGTTGTTCTAGGTTACATGAGACCAGCCAAAAGAAAAACACAAATAGGTAGGTAAATATGATTATTTACTCCAAACCCAAGAAAGAAGAGACCATCATTACAAGCAAAATCATTCTTGAACTGGTTGTTCTAGGTTATTGAAATGCATAAAACAAAACCTCTACTTTTTAGACTTACAGAAAAGAAAAAAAAACCCAACTCCAATAAGAAAGCTAACTTAAGTTTTATGTGAAACAGACCATATTGATGACTCTAAAAGTTTTTCAAGATGTTTATGCAAGTAGAGAATATCTACATCTTGATTTTTATGGCAAATGAGTATGTATTGACTTTTGAAGCTTAAAAGATGATGTGATCTTTTGACATATAGCTCAGGTGTAAAAACCAATCAAGAGGGAGGATAACATTCTTGAGACCCACAGGACTTTAATCTGATCCTAAAGTATAATGCAAAATTTTAAGACAAATTAGTTTAAAAATGCAAATATATTTTAGTTTAGAATTAAATATAAAAGAAACAAAAGATATCATGAATAGAATTTGACAAAGTTTGGCTAAAAGTTTTTTCATACTTGTCTACCTCATTAAATACCGGTCATTTAATAATCAATGGATATGCTTATTTTTGCGTATGAGGAGGTTATGGCTTCAAGAACCAATATTTATAGTTAAGTTTATTATTACTGCCAGAAATTGAAAAACTAGTGTTTTGAATGTGATATTCAAGTATTTTTATTTAATAAAAGAAAATTGAGAATCTTGCTGCAAAGCTTCCTTCAGAAAGATGGAAACTGACTAGGCAGAAGGGTATTTCTCTATACATCTCCATGAATTTCTATATACATCTCCTTACTACATTACAAACACAAAAACAACATTAATATATTTACATATATGTACTTTGCCAAAATGAATTTAATTCCCCTAGAAAAAGTATATTTATTAAGAAAAGTATATTTATTAATAGGCACTATAGAATAAAAGGCAAGACCCTCAAGAAAAGATGGCAACCATTCCAATAGCTGAGTGCTATTACTTTCTCTTAATAGCATTTCTGAAATAGAGAAAAAGGGGGATGAGTAGTTTGTAGACAGACATGTCTCTACTCCAGAAATACCTGCTAGGCAGAAGCCAGGCTACCTAATCATAGGTCCACATATGGAGAAATGGCTAATGTTTTTGTCAGTTGTGATGCTTCCTCTTATACTTAATAATTACTCTTAAGGGCTTGTACTAAAGCAGAGAGCAAGGCTTTAGTTAGGGGATATCTTCTTTTTATGTCCTTAAACCTTTGGTACAAAAATGAGCAAGTTGATAGCAGGCTATTTGATGCCTTTCACTATTCCTGACCATACAGATTTAAAAACTAACTATACAAATTAACTATAACATCATCAGAAGGAATTTTTACTAAGCTTCTATGACTTAAAGAAAAAGGTTAAACAGCAATGGAGACCCAGACATAAAAATTATTAAGTACATTCTGCTTGGTTGGTATAGCTGTGGTCCATGCGTCTAGTGGTAGAAATGACAGTCCTGAAGCAGATCTTGGTAAATTTGCTTGACTACATTCTTCAGGTAGTTGTCCTCCAGTGGCACTTTAGATAGAATGGTAGCAATTTCATTTTGGCTGGAAAGAACAAAGGTTAATTAATTTTTCTGGAAGCTTACACTTGTCTGAATTGTCTTTCAATTCAGTGGAATTCATGTTCTTAGGTATGGTCTCTCTGTTTCCTAGGAAGCACAAATGGGCATTTCTGGAAATAACCAGACTGTCCTGTTTGAAATGGGATTCCAAAACAAGGCCTAAGAACCAATTGTGTATGTAATTGTGAGGCATCTTGACCTAGCTGCTTTCTCTGGCTATAAAAATCTAAACTGTTGGGCCGGCCCGTGGCTCACTCGGTAGAGTGCGGTGCTGATAACACCAAGGCCATGGGTTCGGATCCCATATAGGGATGGCCGGTTTGCTCACTGGCTGAGCGTGGTGCTGACAACACCAAGTCAAGGGTTAAGATCCCCTTACCGGTCATCTTTAAAAAAAAAAAAAAAAAAAAATCTAAACTGTTGGTGTTCTCTGATGGATTTAAGGTAGGTACATTCTAAACTCTGCCATCTTCCAATCTGTCAGCATTGTGTGTCTAAAAAGTCACAACATGTATTATAGCCTAGTAGGAATGAGATTTTTAGGTCTGGTTCCTCAGACTAATTGAGAAAAGTATTGTGAATGCACAGCTTTTTAAGTGATTATTTTGTTTTTAAGGCCATAAAAGTTGTTTACATATGATCTAGAGTCAGCTTATGTAGGATTTCTTCTTTCTGGATTCCTGTTTTAGGTAGAAGTGTTCAAAAAGTGAAGCAGATATAAAAGAATAGACCAATAGTCTCTAGCATCTACTGGAGATAGCAATGAAGGTCACTGACTTTAAAAGAACAAATTCTTCGGGCCGGCCCGGTGGCGCACTGGATAAGTGCGCCGCTTGGGAAGCGCGGCGGCGCTCCCGCCCGAGGGTTCGGATCCCACATACAGACCGGTTCCCGCTCACTGGCTGAGCGAGGCGCAGGAGCAACACCGAG